AATTTATCTGGGAATGCAAATGACCTAAAATAGCCAAAAGTTCTGATAAAGCTACATTACTCGAAATACTGAAATACTGGTGAAAAGACAGATAACACATTAGTGAAACAAGAGAATCCAGAAAAAAGAAAAACTGCTTATATATAAGCAGTTGATGTTCAATAAAGGTATCAAGGCAATGAAATGAGAAAAGTCTGTTTTCAACAAATGTGACTCCAACAACTGGCTTTCCCTGTGTGGGAAAGAAGGCACTTTCACCCATACCTCACAGTACACACAAAATTAATTTGAAATGAATCACAGACCTGAAGGCAAGAACTAAAACGTCAAGAATAAAACACAGGAACAACCTTTGTTATCATGGGGTGAACAAAGAAACTTTCACAAAAGGAAAATGATACACTGGACTTTAGCAAAATTAATACATTTTGCTCTCTGAAAGACACCCTTACAGAAAAATAGTCATGGTATGGCAGGAAATATTCACAAACACGTGTATCAAAGGACTTATATCTGCAATACAAAAAGAACCCTTAAAACTAAATAATTATACTAAAAACAATTCAACTTTTAAAAGTGGGCAAAATATACTTCACAAAAGACAACATACAACTGGGCGGTAAGACATGAAAAGAGGCTCAATTATGATGAACAGGAAATTCAAATTAAAATCTCAGTGAGTGAGGCACAGACAGACATCATTAGTAATGTCAAACGCTGAGGAATCTTTAGCCTCAGTCAAATCTGTGTCCCCCATCTAAATAAAAACCAACAGCACACAAAACAAACAAATCTCAATGAGATATCGCTACATACTCATTAGAATGGCTAAAATTAAAACGACTGACAACATGAAGTCTTACTGAGGATGCTGAAGAACTGAAATTCTAACATAGTACTGATGGGAATGTAAAGTGGTACAGCCACTCGGAAACGTGTTTGACAGTTTCTTTTTTTCTTAAGCTTATTTATTTATTTTTAAGAGAGAGAGCGTGAGTGGGGGAGAGGCAGATAGAGAAGGAGAGAGGGAATCCCAAGCAGGCTCCCCGAAGTGGGGCTTGAACCCACGAAACCATGAGATCAAGACCTGAGCCAAAACCAAGAGACGCTTAACCAACTGAGCCACCCAGGTGCCCCTGACGGTTTCTTAAAAGCTACCCGCACACATACAATCCTGCCATTTCACTACTAAGTATTTACCCAAGAGAAATGAAAACACGCATCCTCACAAAGCCTTGCATAACAATGTTAATAACACCTTTATTCATAATGGCGGCCAAAAGCTTGGAAACACGAATATCCATCACCAGACGAATGGATCAATTATTGTTACTACCCATACACTGGAACACTACTCAGCAATAAAAAGGAATAGAATATCGATAATGCGACAACATAAATCTATCCCAAAATTATTAATATGGAAAGAAGCCAGACTCAAAAGAGCAAAAATATTATTCTGACACAACATTGTATGATGTGAGAAAACGTATCAGTGGTTGTCTGAGGCTGGAAGCAGTAAAGGATCGGGGAAGGGCATGAGGCACCTCTGGGGTGCTGGAAACGTTTCACATCTAGATTGCTGCAATAGTTTCGCCAGTATACACATCTGAAAAAAAAAACATCAAACTGCATATACTTTAAATCAGAGCAGCTTATTATACGTAAATTATACCCCAATATGTTGTTTTAAAACTTATATGCTAAAAATCTCATTTGTGAGTAATGAAGAAAAAACTGAGTCAAAATGAGGAATGAGGAAGAGCTTGTATTTATTTTTATTAAAAAAATTTTTTTTTCAACGTTTATTTATTTTTGGGACAGAGAGAGACAGAGCATGAACGGGGGAGGGGCAGAGAGAGAGGGAGACACAGAATCGGAAACAGGCTCCAGGCTCTGAGCCATCAGCCCAGAGCCTGACGCGGGGCTCGAACTCACGGACCGCGAGATCGTGACCTGGCTGAAGTCGGACGCTTAACCAACTGCGCCACCCAGGCGCCCCGTAAGAGCTTGTATTTAAAAATGGGTCCACGTTGGAGTGCCAGGGTGGCTCAGTCGGTTGAGCGTCCGACTTCGGCCCAGGTCATGATCTCCCGGTTCGTGAGATAGAGCCCCGCATCAGGCTCCATGCTGACAGTTCGGAGCCTGGAGCCTGCTTCGGACTCTGTGTCTCCCTCTCTCTCTCTGCACCTCCCCAGCTCACGCTCGCACTCTGTCTCTGCAAAAATAAATAAGCTTAAAAAATGAAAATTAAAAATGGGTCCATGTAATAGTCATGAAGAATTAACAGCTCAAAAAGCTCTATTAGTTTTAAATAGATGGCAGTTTTAAGATCAAACTATTTACTTAAATGTATTTCAATTTAAATAGTCCTACTCAGATGTTTAACACACGACAATGTGGCTGTACCACATAATTTCATTTACTTTGAATTTCTGTACTGTCCTGAGAAATAGGAGACACAGGTTTATTCTAAACTGACAAATGCCTACACTTGTTTTGACTCTATGCTATACTTCTCACACGACAACGCATTTATTTTTTCAATTTATTACTTAACACAGCTCGAAACCACCCTTACGCCAAGGAAGATGAAATAAACATTAACTCCCCATAAGATTTTTCAATTCACTTCACTTTTCATTAAGAAAGTACCCGTAACTAAAACTCTGTGAGCCAGTACCATAATTAAGTGGAAAAATTAAAAGAGCCATTAAACTTTTCCATTCCTCACAAAAGGAACAAACGACTCGGTCCTTTGGTGGCTGACTGCACTTGGATTGCCTAACCCCAGACACCTGAGCCATCTTGGACGCGCCTAGACAGGAAAATTTCAAATGATGGGAAGGCAGCCTCACAGAAATAAAAACTCATAAAACCAAAAGCCCTCTGGCAATGCTTAAGAAGACTTCAGAAGGAACTTGCTACAAAGGACCATGGGCAAAAAGAGCCCAAATTATTTCTGTATAGAGGTATGTTTTACCGAATCCTCAGAGGGGTCGCAATAAAAGAACAAATCCGATCGATTCGGTAAAGTGCCAAAAACAGACATTTTATTAAATGTGGCAACGTCTTCATTATTTAAAAATTCAACTGAGCGGCATAGTTGTGAAAGGGGAATTTTTTTCATAAAGCTTTGATGCAGAAGATTCCACAGAGGGGAACCCGGGAGAGTCAGTCGGTTAAGTATCGACTCTTGAATTTGGCTCAGGGTCATGATCTCACGGTTCGCGAGGTTCAGCCCCGCATCAGGCTCTGTGGTGACAGTGCCGAGACTGCTTGAGATTCTCTCTCCCTCTCTCTCTGCCCCTCTCCTGCTCTCTCTCAAAATAAACAAACATTTTTAAAAAAACTCAACAGAAAACAAGCTCAAAGAGTAACTCTGAATAAATGCACACTTGAGGGTATTCTGAATTCACAGACATTCACAACACAACTCCTACCACAGCCACCGTCTGCAGTGGCACTCAGCTGAGTCTCCCTTTCCTCATCCAGAAAATAACCGCAAAGGCCCCTTCTAGCTCTATCACTATGCGTTCAGAGTAAAGACTCCGGATAAAAGCAAAAACCCCAAGTGTGAAAGAGGTGAGGAGAGAAAAGAAATAAGCGTACGGGTAGGTAAACAACTGCTCTGTCATCTATTGCAGGGCCCAATCCCACAAGGTCACTTCACCTCTGACGCTGTCGGAGACTAGTACCGCATAATACTCAAGAAACGCAACCGGCCCAGGAATAAAAATCAGCCGTATCTGCATGTTTCTCTGAAAGCGAGCTGCAGAGTAGAAGGCTCACTAAGTTGGGTTATTTTCTAACCTCCATTCTGAACTTTTCAGATTGTTGGCATTCAACAATCGTCTGGCTTTTCTGAGCCTTAGATTCTTATCTATTTAGAGACTGGAACAGATGATCTCAAACGTCCCTTCCAAATATAGCAACCTCTCAAGAAAAATGAAAAACAAAAAAGGTTCTTCAATTACATTTAGTTAATCATCAGGAGTTGCTGAGCCTATGAGCTCAATAGCCTATGTGAATATACATAGCCTTTTTAATACATCACAAATGCATAAAACTTCATTATTACTCCATCAGATTTGATGATTTCACATTAGTTACCACACAGGGAAGAATTATTTCAAGACACTTTAAAATACATTAATTTTCCTACACAGCCCTATCGGATGTATTCTAATGGCAAACAGGGAAACTGGTTTCAGTGATCATACTATGCACAGCAGTTCGACTTCCGTTCTTCTGAGCTGCTGCCTGTGTGTTGCAGCTCAGGGCAGAGGAGTAATCCTGAAGGATGCCGTGCCACCAACTCAGTACCGTCAGGCTCACTTGTTATATTTTACTTTAGATTTTTTTAAGGATTATTATTTTTAAAACTCAATTCTGTTGTATAATCGTGTGAGATATTTAATCATGTGAGATATTTAAAGGCATATCTATAAAAAAACATATTCACTCCAGGAAGTCTGGCTTCTTCTCCGTTCCCTCCCTGCACTTTCGAACTCACGGTCTAAGAGGCAGAGAAGAAGGCAAAAGGTATGGCCTCTGGATTCGCATCTTGAGTGTGTGACCCTGGCTTGTGACTCGATCGCTCCAAACTTACTTGCTCATGTCTACAATGGTGATAATGATAAAACCTACTCCAGAGGGAGATTGCGAGGATTAAATAAAACCATCTGTGCACAGTGGTCGGCTTTGTGGGATCTCAGGGAAGATCGACTGCTAGCATCAGGCTCTCATTTGAGGCTCAACACGATCCTGGGGTAGAGACGCAGAAGAGGAAACGAACCTGGAGGCGCCCCATCACCGGATCAAGGTCACGGAGCCCAGTGCTGAGACCGCAACCCATCTTTCGATCCCAGCACTAAGCCACAGTACTCGCTCCTAAAATTCTAGGCTCATTCAGGTTCCATGCTCATCACACATGCCCTACAACCAGCACAAGGGAAAAGCAACTCCCTTCCCACCCGGGACAACTTCAAAAGACTCACTGTGTTCAGCGCATTGAGGGTAGTGTCATCCCGAGATGCGGCAACACAGCCATCCTCCGTGGAGCCTCCGTCACACATCCCTGCGAATGCTGCCATGCTCCTTGGAGGACAGAAAGGGAAAATATCAGCACAGAAATGTTAATCCTCAGGTTTCAGAGTCAGCTCAGACCAAATTCCATTACTATATGCATGATAGGTCGGAGTTCTCAGTCCTGTTTCTGCTCTTGTTAATTTTTTTTTTTTTTTTTTTTTTTTTTTTTTTTTTTTTTTTTTTTTTTTTTTTTTTTTTTTGGTGAGAGAGAGAGAGAGAGAGAGGAGAGAGAGAGAGAACAAGCAGGAGAGAGAGTGTGCCAGCGGCGTACAGACAGAGAATTTTAAGCAAACTCTGCTCTCAGCGCAAAACCCGACGCAAGGCTTGATCCCATGACTCCGGGATCAGGACCTGAGCCAAAATTAAGAGTCGGATACTCAACCAATTGAGTCACCCAGGCACCCACCAAAAAAAATTTAAAATACCTCTACCCCCTTCACACATACAGAAAGGGAAATGTTACATTTACTCTGGTCTAATTGTGCCCTTTCTTCCCACACTTTACCAGGACTCAGATTTCAGTTTAGAGCATGAATAATCTAAAGCTATTTGCCACAACAGTTGGCTAGAAGGGCGCGTGGCTGGCTCAGTCGGTTAAGCATCTGACTCCTGATTTTGGTTCAGGTCATGATCTCACATGATCTCACGGTTCATGAGCTCGAGCCCCGTGTTGGGATCTGCACTGACAGTGTGGAGCCTGCTTAGGATTCTCTCCCTCTCTCTCGCTCTCTCAATAAATAAATAAATAAACATTAAAAGAAACACTTGGCTAGAGTACAATCTTTTCAAATAAAGATTATATTTTTGAAAGAAAGATATTTTGAAAAAAAATTAAATCCTCTGAATTTGCTTATTTCCTTTCATGCTACACATCAACTAACTTTAGGCAAGTTAAAAGTGGGAGGGGGATGAAAGGAATTCTTAGAGGCCGCTAACTGCACTGAGGCAGCCTCGTGTCTACACAGCATAGCTGAGCACAGGGCTTAAATGCAGTTGCCCGGCCTGCTCTGGTGCTTTGCTTATGCCCCGCTGATGCTGCGGGGAGTCCCAGAAACCACCGCAGATGCAGGAAGGCTCTCTGCCCTCACTATGATGTGCAGGGATAGATTTAAACTTACCTTTTATATTTTAGGCACTTGTAAGTTAGTAAGTTCTCATGTAGGTAAGCCACAAAAACACCAAGTTTAAGTCAAGCATCAATGAGCAGCCTCAAGTAGAGAAATCTACAATGGGATTTTAAGAAGGGCCGAATGATCTAACTACTCAACTGTATTTAGAAGTGCTGATAATCGCATGTATGGCTTACGGTGTTTCCCTTCTGAAGAGTTCTAACATCTGATGTGGGGCAAACATTAAGAAACAAGTGACTTTACTGTGGCAAACGTTTTCTCTGGTAAGAAAAATCAATTCACATGGCCTAACTCAGGGCAGGATGGGGAGGATTCCTATTACCTTGCTGCCCTCAAGTACATAAGAAGGTCACAGTCATTAACTCCAGGCATCCAGACCAGTTCCTCATGTTGGGTCACAGTGTCACCATCTGGAGAAGGGAACGGTTGCAAATCGGGAAGTTTGGCCTGTAAGATAGGGATGGAAAAGTCACAATCAAGGCACATTTAAAGAACTGTCTCAACAGGCAGGCCCTGGGAACAGATGCCATAGCTTACTGAGCCTCTTTCTTTAGGCAGTACCGAAATAACAAAAACCGTGAGTCACTGAAACCAGCCTGTAGCACGTTTCGGGATCATTTCACCATAGAAGATCTCACAATGGACTGCTTAATCTCTACTTAAGGAGAAGCAAACAGTATCAAAATAAACCAGTGTCAGCATGATCCAAAGAATAAAACAGAAATGGACACGTGTGCATAAAAGAAATGAAAAAAACACAAACCCTCAGGAGATAATAGTTCCCTGATAAAGAAGGGGAAAACACACACATTTCCAATGTAACACATCTACAAAGAGACATTACAAGTGATGAAACCTCACCTAAGGATATTTGCTGAAAATTTAAACGCACCATCCCATTAAGTTAACGCTACTTCCAAGACACTCAATAACTACCCTGTAGTCATGGTAAACGTAAAAAAAAAAGGCACAAAATTGGAAGTAACATTAAAAACAAAGCTGGACTAAATGGTGGTGACAGAAATCAGGCCAGTAGCAGCTTCAGGAGGAGGGGATTGCTTGTGAAGGGGCAGGAAGGAACTTTCTGAGACAACACAACTGTTGAGCCTTGACAGGAAGGGTGACAGCAGACGCAATAGTCCACATAAGATCTCAGCAGTTCACTGCACGTAAAGTGTACCTCAGCAAAAAAAAAAAATTTTTAAATATTTGAACAACAGTGCTCAACAACCCAGTCTCTTTGTCACCTGTGGGTTAGAGATCCAAATATCTCTAGTATGTTCTCATCCTCACTCTGCTGTGGCACAGCCAGGGCCAGTAGGTACGAGGACTACCACAACCATGAGAGGCCTAGAAGAAGTCAACTGCCTGCAAAACAGGCACGTTCTGGTCGTCTTAAATGATGAACACGGAAGTACTAGCCTAAAATTTTAAACCAAGAGCAGCTGTTAAAAAGCTCCAGTGGCTAAAGAAACCAGGCAAAAAAAAAAAATGAAAGGAGCAGCTGTAAGGTAGCACTCTCCAACGGAAAGAGAACGAGAGACACATATTTCATTTTAAAACACTCTAGTATCCCCATTGAACCCCACCTCCCAATGTGGACTAGCCACGCTTCAAGTGCTCACGGCCACATGGGGCAGTGGCTCCAGTACTGGGCTTGCAGGTATCAGGTGCTAAGGAGGCAAGGGAACCAGGCAGAAATGGAGACGGTGCTGCCCTGTGCACAGAAAGCAGCCAGGCAGGAATGAGAACCGGTACTTGTATAACCTCCGATTTTTTCCAAAGTCCAGAAATTTTTATGCGAAAGCTTGTATTCACGTTTTTAAAACAATTTTGTGGCAGACACGACATGAGCAGATCATGGGGCTCTAGATGCCAGTCTGCTTCACAGGCTACCTCTGGTACCTCTAAGTGCGCATCAAGTGCCGACTTTCTCCAAACAAGGATGCTCTTCTTTAATTTAGTACCGACTTTTATAACATTTAGTTGGGTGCCTCAATGAGTTCTGCTTAACACACAGTGACCATACTGGAATAAAATTTGACACACAACAGATATTCACACCAAAAGGGTTTTTTTTCTTCAAGTTTTTCTAAAATTTATTTACTTTGAGAGAGAGAGAAAGAGCGAGCATGAGCGGAAAAGGGGCAGAGAGAGAGGGAGAGAGAGAATCCTAAGCAGGCTCTACGCTTTGCACAGAACCCAACGTGAAGGTCAATCTCAAGACCATGAGACCATGACCTGAGCCAAAATCAGGAGCTGGCCACTTAACTGACTAAGCCACCCAGGTGCCCCCAAAGGTCTTTTTTGACATTTGTACTGAGCTCTGTTTCCCAGGACCAAATACAGTATCTGGTGTGGCAGCTCTCCCAGGTCTGGCAGTTTGTCCCAGGGGGACAAACCTCCCCCCCTCCCCGCCAAGAGAAAAAGAGGCTGGACATATAATTAGTTAGCTTACGGAAAAAGAAATGCAAATGGCTCTTAATGATAAGAAAACATGGTCAAAGTTGCTGATAAAAGAATTTCCCACCCATCAGACCGACATAAGTCCCAAAGTGTGACAACATACAAGGCAGGAGTTGCCAGCACAGATACAAAAATGGTACAATCTCTATAGAAGGGCATTTTGTAATGTCTTCACACTTACAGGTGCACTTGCCCTCCAAGGGAGCCAACCCCCCTTCTGGGGATATATTCCAAAAATATGTTGGCAAAAACATAAAAATCTATATGCTCAGGCCATTCACTGCAGCATTACCTGTAATAGCACATGACTGGAAGCAACCTAAGTGCCCAACAATAGGGACTGGAACTGGAAGAATAAACTGCTGTATCCACGCAATGGAGCTCCATGAGGCAGTAGAAGGAAATGAGGAGGAGCCTACATACTGCCATGGAGGGAACAGCAGGATACACTGTTAACAGATAGAAAGTCGGCGGAAGCCTGTGTATTATGCTACCATTTATCTAAGAACAGAGGGTCGGGGAATAAAAATAAGAAGGAAAAATCAAAACCTTAAATTAACAAAAACAAAAGCAACAAGTGTCCATCATGGAGAGAAGGAACATGTGGAGGGGACAGATGTAGTCGACTTTCTTGAACATACTTTTTCCTTTGTATGTTTGACTGTGGGGCCATGTGAATAGCCCTACATAAAAACAAAATGAAACTTAAAGAATAGTAATCCCTTAAAAACCATAAGGCAAAATAAAATACATGCATTAACTACACAGTAAGTTGATTCCTCTCTAGAAATTATTTCAACCAACTTTAAAACACAGTATTAATTTGCCCACACAGCCCTAGTGGGATATATACTAAGAAACCACCCCCGCCAAAAAAAAAAAAAAAAAAAATTAAATTGCAAGCTGTTTTCAATAATCATATTGTTTGCAGCAGTGTGTTATTATCTTGTGCTATTATATATGTATTATGGGATTAAAGCAAATGAATAATGATGTTGGTGTCATTTGAAAATGGGATTTGAGACATGGGGAAAAGATACAGACAAATGAAAGAAAGATAGGATTAAATATAAAATCCAGATAAAAATTTGAATTGGAATTAGAAATATCAAAAGGAATCTACAATGTATCTTTAAAAAATGTATAAGAAAAAGGCATATTTCTTTTTCCTGAAAAGGCCTAGAAACAAGTAACCAACCAACCCAGTAACAATGAACACCCCAGTACCCAGTCAAAAAATGTCACTTCCCAGTAAAACAATAAGGGCTCCTATGAGAAAAATTTAATTCTAGATCTAGGGCAGGGACTGTACAAGATGAGACATTAAAATGCCATACCAGTTAAAGGAATCCTGCAAAGACCACCGAGGTCCGTCCAGTCGAAAGGACACAGAAGTTAGCAGGAAGAGGCCCCTACTGGCCCCAGATGGATAATTTAATCATCAGTAAGAATAAGGACAATGCGGGGGTGCCTGGGTAGTTCAGGCGGTTATGCGTCCGACTTCGGCTCAGGTCACGATCTCAAGGTTTGTAAGTTTGAGCCCCACACCGGGCTTGCTGCTGTCAGTGCAGAGCCTGCTTCAGATCCTCTGTCCCCCTCTCTCTCTGCACATGCCACCCCCCCCCCCTTCCTGGGTGTGCGCTCTGCTCTCTCTCTCTCTCTCTCAAAAATAAATAAAAATTAAAAAGAAAAAAAAGAATAAGGACAGCTGGTTAGCAGATAACAAATAATTTAAAATCCACTGGTGACCACTGGAAGACGTTGGGGGAAACAGTATTTTTGAAAACTGGTAAACAGAAGGAAGGAATTGAACATTTATCTTGCCTTTCCTCTGTGATTCAGGTAATCAAATAGTTGGTAAGGGGAAAGCTTCATTTACTCACCTAATAAATGAAGGAGTGATACGATTAGAACACCACAATTTTGAAGGGTACATCTAAGTAACAAGCCAAGGCAGCAAATCACCCTTACAAGGACAGGCATAACCTCCTGGTAGACAGACACAGCACCACCCACGCCAGAGGCAGAGGACCAAAGGAGCATAGGATTAAACTTCTAGATTTTAACTACTCATTTGCAAGATATGCCAAGGACACGGGACAAGTCTAATGACACATAAAGATGCAATCAGCCAAATCCAGACTGTGGGACACCCTACTGGACAAAACACTCACCTTCTTCAATACATACACTGAGAGAAGGGGAAAATAAGAACAACAGATGAATTAAAAGAGATTTAAGAGACCTATCAACCACTTGCAACGCATGGCTCTTACTCACATTCCAATTTGAACCGTAAAAAAAAAAAAAAAAAAAAAAAAAAAAAAAAAAAAAAAAAAAAAAAAAAGACAATTATGGAAATCCGGTCCTGGTGGGTATTTAAGAAATTGCTAATTTTTATTAGGTGCTACATACTGTGATTTTGGTTTTTGGAAAGGGCTCTTATCTTTGGGATATTTACAAGTAAAATGATAGATTTGTGAATCATTTCAAAACAATAGTTGGAGGGACGTAAGGAGAATAAATGAAACAAGTTTGATCCTAACTTGGTAGGTGTGAAAACGAAGTAATAAGGATCAGGGGATTTATTGTACCATTCTTTCTTGACTTTTACATGTGTCAATGTTGTGCCTAAAAAGAAATTAAAATTTTAATAAGGAAAATACTGCCTATTAAAAAAAAAAAAGTCCTTTCATATTTGGTGTTCCAAAACATGTCTTGTTGGGAAAAAAAACCCACAAAGCCTAATAAAGATATTTAAAATCTGGTACAAAATAAATGAAGGTATACAAAAATCCAAGCATAATCTAAGTATAAAAAAACCTAAGCAAGAATTTAAGTATCTTTTACTTACAAACCACTCTTTCTGTTATGGCAAGGCAAAAAATCGTAAAATAAAGCTTTCGTACAAAGATCTCAAGACACTAGAAACACAACGGGGAAGAAGAAACACGGGTGGGAAAATATGGTGGCAAGAGGGCAGAAAGAGGGAGGGACGTGTAGTCAGAGGGAACCCGGTAAGGACTAGATCCCGATTAGACTGGAACTCCTAGGCCTGAAGGCACAGAAAACACAGTTGAGAAGTGGTAGGCAGACGCCCCAACGGGCCACAGCAAGGAAAGGGTTGTGCGGGGACAGGGCGGGCAATAAGGGGAGTGACCACGTGCAGCTTTTTTTTCCGGTCTCAGTTGTAATCCTAGTTCTGGGATGCGAAGTGTCCACTAGAAATTAGATGCCCCTGTTTCTGTGCTTTGACTTTAATATGCCCTCCCTTCTTCATTTCTTTCTCGTTACAGAGCTAAAACAGATTCTTAGAAATATGAATGACATATAAGAAATGCTCAACGTCCAGACAGAAAAATGAACAAGTAAACAGACTACTGAAACCTCTCTGTCCTTACAAAGTGGGGGAAGGAGGAAAAAAGAGACTGATGTCAAACATGACACTAAGAGTCTCAGTAAACTGAACAAAATAGGACACAGGCCCTGACACAACAAGCTGCTGACAAACAGACAGCCTAACCATCTGGACTCTTGTGAAGGACAGGGGTTATTAAAAAGTTAAAATGAAAGTATGTAGGGACCAAATGTCCATCAATAAATGAATGTATCAACGAAATGTGGCGGTATAAACAAATGATGAAGATTCAGCCTTAAAAGGAAATTACGTTCTGGTTTGTGCTATGACAGGGGTGAATGAACCCTGAAGGTCTTATGTTACGTAAAAGAAGCCGGACAGGAGGACAAGTACTGTGCAATCCAAGGATATGAGAAACCTAGGGCAGTCAAATTCGTGGAGACAGAAAGCAGGACAGGGGTTACCAGGGGCTTGGGGAGGGAGATGGGGAGTCAGTGTTTAATGGGTACAGAGTCTCAGTTTGGGAAGGTGAGAAAGTTCTGGGGGTAGATGGTATGGTGGTGACGACTGCACAGCAACATGACTGTACTTACCAGCACTGAAATGTACACTTAAAGATGTTTAGAATGGTACATTTTACATTATATGTATCTTACCACGATTTTAAAAAGTACGTGACGATCAGAAAGAAAAAAAAATCTCTGTATTTATATGACATTCCCTTAAGCGTAACAATTCTAAGTTGCTGCTCAACAGAATCAAGGGCCAGCAGAATAATAAGAAATAAAACTCCATCAGAGAAGCTACTGAAATTTGCTTTACCTGATGGCTAGGACCAACACGAATTTCTCCCTGGGTGCTGTTCAGCCTCCTGTCATGGAAAGAGCAGATTAGGTTAGCACCATATAGTTCAGGCATAAACATTCACAAATTTTTTCAAGGAAAATAATTCACTTGAAATAAATGAGGGATAAAACAGGAAGAATTAAGTTCCCCACTACTTCGAGTGTTGCCCTGCACATGTGCACGCCCAAAGCCCATACACATCTCTAAAATCTCTTTCTTCTAAAAAAAATACCTGACTGCAACTCCCCGTCTTGAGTACCTACCTATACCATTGGTCCTTCACACCTCAGAGGGAGGTACATTGCTACGGTACAACCCCAATAGAGGTTTCTTCTTTTCAAAACATTGCTCGTGCCCTACTGTAAACCTTATTAAAAGATAAACAAGATACGGGGGGGCCGGGTGGCTCAGTTGGTTAAGTGACCGACTTCGGCTCAGGTCACGATCTCATGATCTGTGAGTTCGAGACCCACATCGGGCTCTGTGCTGACAGCTCGGGGCCTGGAGGCTGCCTCGGATTCTGTGTCCCCCCCTCCCCCCCGCCCCGCTCTGCCCCTCCCCTACTCATGCTCTCTCAAAAATAAACAAACACTAAAAAAATGTTTTAAAGATGAGCAAGACAGCTATGGTTCCTAGCACACACACTGGGTCACTCATCCATTCAGCAAATATTTATTAAGTACCTATTATATGCTCAGAACTGGCCTAGATGTTGTGGATAAAGCAGTGAACAATACAGTGTCCCTGCCTAACTGGAACTTCTATGCTCACTTGGGTATAAAATGAAGAAACAAATAATAGGTTAGGTGATAGTAAGGGCCAAAGAATCAAGCAGACAGTGAATGATGAAATATTTCCCCAGTTCTTTACACAGCACAGACAGGAAAGGCCTCATTAAATAAAGCAGAACAAGCAGAGATGGAAAAGATGTGTGGGAATGAGCCCAGCAGGTCCAAGAGGTGGAAGACTTTACTTCGTTTCTAGGTCATTCTCACCGCACCTGCTCACCCTCCCTTGCTCTCAATTCTCACCATCCAGGGTCCTTTTAGAAGCCACTATTTCTGTGAAGCCTTTCCTATCTCCCCATTTCACCCCACAACGCCCGCAAAGGGTGGACTGCCTTCCCCTCTCACTCCTTCACGAGATGCTGATTGAGTGCCTTTCTGTCCCAGGCTCGCACAGGGCACCCACTGGGGCACAAGGCCGGATGAAGAAGCGCAGTCCCAGCTCCCGGTTCCTGTCAACTCTGAGTCACGTCGGACTGTGGGCTACCTCAGGACGCCCCTTCTGTGCCCAGGGACAAATCTGCCGTGCTGTGCGGCCACCTTTGCGTCTGCAGCAGAGCCACGGAGAAGGCCGTGCCACAGGGAGAGCCGCCGACGGCTACCGGTGGACTCGGCTGTGCTGCGAGTGTACAAACAGCACAGGGGCAGAGAGGCTGCCGGTCTCGGGTCTGTCCTCCGCAGAGCCGGCACCCCCATCATCCCATTGAGGTTGTTAACATGAATTGTGGAAAACGATTACTTCCTTCAGGCCTGATGCTTTCTTCTTTTGACCCAACAATTTTTCTCACGAAGAGTCTTATTTCGGGAAAGCGGGCAATAGAAACAACAAAGGAAGGGAGGAGACTAAACCACAAGGGAAGAAGACACGTGGCCCAGTTCTTAAGACACTTACTCTCCAACTACCCGGGAGGTGGCATCACCCGACAAAGCCACAACAGGTCCAATCGCTACATTTACAGTCACAGATCATCTCAGGAGGAACAGGGTCCAAAAATGCCCAGGGAAGTGATCCACACCAGGCAGGCTTCACAAGGAGATGACAGTGCAGGAAGTGGTTAATTTCCAACCCTTCACCTCTGAAGGGAGCACAACAGCAGGGCAAAACAGAGGACTTCCTATGGCGTGAGGTGGGGGGGCTCTCTGAAGTGGGACGAGGTGGGGGAAAAAGTCTGCACTGAGTGCTGGTTTTGATCTACAAGGCATCTTCGTTTCCCCACCAGGAGAGTGGTGTGTTGAAAAACAAGTCAAAAGATGGACTATTCTAGTAGGTTCATGTAGGAATAACACGCTGTTTTAGGAGGTATGAGAGGAACCACATAGGCCAGGAGGCTACTTTAATCATGAGTACTTTAAGAAAAACAAGCAGTCAGCATTACCAACCCTTTCCCTTCCAGCTTGTCCTTTTCTGTCTCACAACCAGCTCCGAGCAAAACTAGCTACCAAAAGCTCTCTCCCTCTACCTCTAGATACTTTCCAAACGCTCGCCTGCCTACGAGCAGGTGGAGCCAAATGCATCATCTGAGAAGGTTTCGGCCACAGCCCATCCAATAACTTGTGCCACAGCTCAACCTGCAGGTTCTTCTAGAAGGTCTAGGCCATGCCAAGGTTCTCAAGTGGGTGTCTACGAAAGCATTTCCCCATCACTGCTACACACGCACTGCTAAGTCCTTGACAATTCTAGGACAAACATTCCTGGGTTGTTTTTAATTTAATTTTTTCCTTTTTTTATTTCTTTGTGTGGTTTTTTTTTTCCTTTTAATACCTTCATCAGCCAGTATTATCAAAATTAGCTCAAAAATGTGCCACAATAATAAAACAAACACTTCAAATACCTTATTGAATACAACTACTTGTATCCCATTGATTTGTACAAAATAGGTTGATAATTATTAATACTAATAATTATACAAGAGAAAAGACAAAGGTACTGAGGATCTTAAGAGCCTGAAATGGAAATTGTTTCTCTCATTTTTGTTTCTATCAATGAATGGCACTGACAAGGTCAGTAGTTTAAAAAACCCAAAATAACACAGAGGACCTTTAAAATTAGAAATCAATTATTACAACAAAATTATTTCTCAACCAGATGCAACTTTTCTTTTTTAATTTTTTTAATGTTTGTTTAGTTTTGAAGGGTCGGGGGAGGGGCAGACAGAGAGGGGGACCCAGAATCCGAAGCAGGCTCCAGGCTCTGAGCTGTCAGCACAGAGCCCAAAGTGGGGCTCGAACCCACAAACGGAGCCAAGTCGGACGCTTAACCGACTGAGCCATGCAGGTGCCCCAACCGTGCGCAACTTTCAAATACTGGGGTTTCATATAGCAAGAGATACACCAAACTTATTTTTGAGGAGGATGAGGATCTGAGGTAAGCAAACAACGGCCTTAGCCTACTGTTTGCAGGACCTCCTGAATACAGAGTAAATGGCAGAAATGTTCTTTAGGCCCAAGATAAAAAGAGGCTGATAGCAACATGCCCGATCAGAGAGAACTGGATGCATGTGACAGAAAAACCGTCAGCACATGAACTGGAGGTGAGAGACCAGAAGGGGGCTTCCTGGGAAACGGCCAGTACCAGGCCTATCCACGATCCGCTGCGCAGTCACCGTCCTCCCCTCTTCTGACAGCATCCGAACTCTACCTTAAATGACACGTTCCTCTCCCGCTGCCTCGTTGCTCCTCCCTTCTGACTGCGTGCTCCTTCTGTCAGAGGACGACACTCTGCTGTGGCTCATCTGGACATTTCCCTCCACCCACTATGGGCCTGTAAGCTTCTAGAGTAGAGGAACTGATGCTCATCTTGTGGGTCCCCCAAAATCTACTACACTACCTGCCTGGCATTATTATGCATTCAGGACAAATTTAAAGTTCCCTGGTGGCATGGATATTTCTCGACTCCTAAGCTCTAAAACTTGACAAAAATCACCAGGAATTATTATCTAAATGCAGTATCAAACAGCTTGTGAAAAACACTCTTAATAATCGTATGCTGGCCAGTACATACTTCCTTTTCCTTCTTAACACAGCAGTTCCCAAACTATTGGTCTCAGAAACTCTTCACAGTGTTTAAATTACTGAGCATTCCAAGGAAGTTATATTTTTGAAAAAGTTCAAAAAAACATTTTATGTACCAATAAGCACATCACATATTAATATGTAGAACTTATTCTCATGAAAAAATTGTTTATTTTTTTAAAGTTTATTTATTTTTGAGAGAGGGAGAGACAGAGTGCAAGCGGCGGAGGGGCAGAGAGTGAGGGAGACACAGAATCTGAAGCAGGTTCCAGGCTCTGAGCTGTCAGTGAGAGCCCGACGTGGGGCTCAAACTCGTGAACTGTGAGATCATGACCTGAGCCAAAGTCAGATGCTTAACCGACTGAACCATCCAGACACCCCAGAAATTAAATGGATCTAAACAAACAACAACAACAAAAAACTTAGAAAAACAGAGGCACTGTTTTACATTTTTTTTGCAAATCTAATTCAGCACTTAACAGAAGTCCACTGGATTTTTATGTCTGCTTCTACATTCAATCTTTTGTAATATGTTATCTTAGTTAAAGTATATCAAGAAAATCTGGCCTCACAAAGATTATAGTTGGAAAAGGGAAGGATATTTTAATAGTCTTTTTGATAATTATGGATATTATTTTTTATACTACCCCAAAACTCAACAAGTGACCATTCCTTAAATGTTTTTACACAATGTGAATCTAAAACCTTACCTTGCCTTGAACTCTTTTATGTTAAAAATCCATTAGTCTGTCTTGGCCTTTTAATGGATCCTTCTACCCAGACCCGATTTTTGTGAGGTCATGCACAATTTAGATGGAAAATATGAGATGCCAGATTTATCCTTCAATTAATGGCAATGATAGCCAACACTTGAGTACTTTCTATCTGTTCTAGGTGCTCTACAGTCTCATTTCTATGTATTCATTCATTAAATTAATATTTTGATATTAATGAAAGCATTAATAGTGACAGTCACAGAAATTCAGATCTTGTTCTATATTATGTTTGAAATAACACACCTACTAAAGAGGTTTCTGTTTGAGGCACGGCGTTGCTTAATTAATACAGTAGGTCTGGGCAAAAACAGGACGGTCACCAATTAAGGAAGGAAAATCCAGACCAAGGATGGTGTACAAACAAGGATGGTCTCAGATAAAGAACACTACATACGAAATAAGAGACCAAAGACGGAAGTCATGTCCCAGGATAATGCAGGACAAATCTAGGT